ACCATGGCTAAACTCGCCGAGCTTCACAATCTTGTAATGTCTATTTCTCTGTTGATTTTGGCTTTGGCGAAGTTATGTTTCATGGATAGTTAATATTATTAACTATGATGTAGATTGACGAAATGGGTTGTGTTTAGTTTGCAAGATTTGTGCTTTAATTAAAGACATTAGTAGATTGCTAAACCACTGTCTTTTTCTTTGTTTTCATTTCGATTATTTTCAGGACTTTTGAGTATCAGGGTCTCATGTTGTGTCACTTATTGTATGAAAATTCTATGCCTTTGGCTTTTTGATTTAGGCATGTTATGTTCAGTGGGATAGAAAAAGAGCAATCAATGGGTTATTTGTGAGAATGAACTGCTAACAAATTTAGCCCTTTTATATATATATATATATTTGGACCTTTAGGTTTCATCTTAATTTAAATTAATTGACAAGCCTATGGATTCTTTCATGTATCTGAATTTCTGAGTGAATAAGGAGGATTTGCAGTTACATGAAAATTCTTAACTGAAAAAATCTATCTATTCAGTTTCCTGCCCTGCGTGAATTTGTGAAAATGGGAAAGCCAGTCTGGGGGACATGTGCAGGTCTTATATTCCTGGCAAACAAAGCTACTGGTGGGTTCCTGCTCTTTTCTTTCTTTTTCTTGTATTAGATTTTTGCTCTTCAATAAGCAAATTGTTGACATTAAAGGATGCAATAGGTTCTAGTTTTGATTATTGACATGGACCCTTCCTTATTTCAGGACAGAAAGAAGGTGGACAGGAATTAATTGGTGGCCTTGATTGCACTGTGCATAGGAACTACTTTGGCAGTCAGGTAATTACATACTCTTTTACCTTTTTGGTTAATAGTTAATTCTAAGTGGTTTTGAATGAATATTGAAAGCACAGTTTACTGTGAAATACTCATCTACCATTTCTATGTTGTTCTATAAAAAATGGGACCTGGAACTTAAACAGATGGCAGCAGCACTCACAGCTTTTTATGAGACCCTTCATTTTCAATTTCTAAATACAGTTTGCTGCTACCTCATATTTTCTAAATACAGTTTGCAGATGAATTTGCATTCATTATTTTATAATAGAGTAAGCTAAATCTCGTATCAACCCTAACCAAGTTGGACTTCAGAATTATAATCTTTGTTTAGTAAATTGCGCAATAAATCTGGTTTATGATCTTCACACATGATTGATAATTGTTCATAAGTTTCTTTACCTGCTCTCCTGGTTTTTTTTTTTTTTAATCAATTTGATCTGCAAGAAAAGGATACATGAAAAGTTCTTTTAGATACCATATATTGGTACTGCTTTAAACATCTGGGCTGCATCATATTATCAATTCTGTGCTTGGAACAAACCATTTTTTTACAGATCCAGAGCTTTGAGGCAGAACTTCAAGTCCCAGAGCTTGCATCCAAGGAAGGTGGTCCTGAGACATTCCGTGGTGTTTTCATTCGTGCTCCTGCAATCCTTGAGGCAGGGCCAGAAGTTGAAGTGCTGGCTGACTATGCTATTCCAACTAATAAAGTTCTTTATTCAAGTTCTTCTGTTGAAATACAAGAGGTTTGCTTTCTCCTTCTTCTGTTATTGAATTTTTCCATCTTGCAATAATGCAAACTAAATATATAGCATTTGCCTTTGTTCCTCACAATGGAGGCTGGACATGAAAATTGCTCCTCCGGACACCCTCATCATGTTACAGTTTCAAAATCTGTTTCTCTTAATGACAAAATTAAATAGTAATCAAAGAGGTTGGACATCCAAGATGTTTCATGTTTACCATACCATCTTAAGAATATCTCTGAGGAGACAGTAGCTGGAAATTGTGTGACAGGTGGTCTATAAGTATTATGAACTTTTCTCTAGCTATCTTTTTTCTGGACAAAAGGTAGGCAACTTACTAGTCATCAATGTCAAACTGTGTTGTAAGTTTCAGGCAAGTGCCATTCCTAAAAAGGATTCTAATTTATATCTGTTTTATATTCTCTTGTCAGTTGTCACAGTCTTTGTTAAAATGTTTCAGGAGAGTGCTATGCCTGAAAAGAGAGTGATTGTTGCTGTAAGGCAGGGTAAGCTGTTAGCAACTGCCTTCCATCCAGAATTGACTGCAGATACTAGATGGTAAACCGGATCCTCCATCTAATCTTTTGATCTTCCATGAAAGTGGTAATCTTTTTCCCAATCATATCTAAGAACGTAAACGGTTGCTCCTGCAGGCATAGTTACTTTTTAAAGATGGCAAGTGAGGTTGAAGAAGGGGCCTCAAGCAGCATCGTTGCTGTGGGAGGAGTGGATTCAAATCCAAGTTCTATCCAACAGCCAAAATTTGATCTTCCTATATATCAATAGTGATACTGACACTATTTTCCTCATCAGTTTTTTCCTGTTCTTCCTGGTTTTCCCCTAACTTACAGGTAACTTGTTAACATCTTTTTGATGTTGTATGCAGAAATTTAGTCTGTAAGTGACAGTATCTTTTTAGATTGATCTTTTTGATACAAATACATAATAATGCATAAGAGTTGAAACCCACAATTCCGTACATACGGGAGTCGAACACAACTTTAAAGTTATGAGGCCTCTTTGTTTTGATTTTTTTTTTTTTTGTATTAACCTTCAAATATTCGGTAATCACATTGAGTATCGATTAATCTTGAATCGAGTTTCGTCGGACCCCATTAGGGGGAAGTTCTATTAGGGTTTATTTCTTTATTCATAAGACTCGAATTCAAAATTTTGTTTAAAGGGAATCGAGTTCTTTTTACTCAGACTAACAAACCGTTGTTATAAGAACTCTTTGTAAATACGATTATGCCTCTACTTTCTTATCTTGGGAATCCGAAAATTGTTGTTGTCCCTTATGAATCTATATACTCATAATTTTTATTATTTATTGCCCTTTTTGTCTCTCTACTCTAAAGGTGACATCCCGCGTTTAGGATGAACGCCACCAAGGGCAGGTGCCATGTTAAAGCTGCGTAGCCAAAACGTTAGATTTTTCAAGCAAATGGAATCCTCTCTTTTATAAGCTGTTCAGAATTCAGATTAATAAGAAAATATTGATTAAAAAATTTTATATAACCATTAAAGTTTAAAATTTTTCTTCTTCATTAGCTGGGTGTTCAAAGAATCAAATTAGTTATTATTTTTTTTTTTTTCTCTTCCTAAAGAATAAGTATATCTGTGTAATATGGGGTTTGCATTATTAGTAATAACATATGAATAAAATTAGCACAAATGACACTTTCATTCTCCTATAAAATTTATGTCCATATTTTTTAAAGATTTTTTTAACCATACTATAAATAATTAAAATGAGAATACCTTTTTATCATAAATTCATATAAAAAAAAGTAAAAATTGATATTAATTTTAGTATTGTTACTAAGTATATAAATTTAATCGAACGGTTGATAAATTAAAAATTAATTTTTATTTTTTAATATAAATTTATGACAATTAAATATATTTAATACACTAATATTTACATGTGCTCTTAAAAAAACCCCTTTTTTTTATTTGTAAAAATTTTATTTACAAT